TCGGTTGGCTCCTCCCGAGATGCAGGAGTTGTCTACACAGCTGCAAGAGCTGCTAGAAAAGGGATTTATCAGACCAAGTAGTTCACCATGGGGAGCCCCAATCATGTTTGTGAAGAAGAAGGACTGCTCGCATCGTATGTGTATAGACTACCAGGAGTTGAATAAGGTAATGGTGAAGAACCGTTACCCCCTCCCGAGGTTTGATGATTTGTTTGACCAGCTACAGGTTGTATCTTGGTTCTCCAAGATTGATCTAAGATCAAGTTATCACCAGATGCGAGTCAGGGACGAGGATGTATAGAAGACAGCTTTTAGGACTCGCCATGGTCATTATGAGTTTGTGGTGATGCCGTTTGGGCTCACCAATGCTCCAGCCGCGTTCATGGTCCTCATGAACCGCGTGTGCAGACCGATGATGGATCGGTCTGTAATAGTCTTCATTGATGACATCTTGATTTACTCCAAGACTCAGGAGCAGCATGAGGAGCACCTGAGGGAGGCGCTGGAGACGCTGAGGAGGGAGAGACTTTTTACAAAGTTCTCCAAGTGTTCATTCTAGTTGCGCGAGGTGCAGTTTCTTGGGCAACTTGTCAACTAGAAGGGTATTCTGGTTGATCCGGCCAAGATAGAGGCCATGATGCAGTGGGAGGTTCCGAGGTCTCCAACTGAGATTCAGAGTTTTCTTGGTCTAGCGGGTTATTACCGGAGATTCATCCAGGATTTCTCCAAGATCGTTGTTCCTTTGACCCGACTGATCAAGAAGTCGATGACATTCTGTTAGGGGCCTAAGCAGAAGGCAGCCTTCGAGACCCTCAGACAGCAGTTATGCGAGACACTGATTCTGATCTTGCCAAAGGGAGTTGATGACTTTGTAGTTTACTGTGATGCTTCAATCACAGGTATGGGAGCATTTTTGATGCAGCAGGATCATGTGATAGCTTATGCTTCAAGGCAGCTGAAGCCTCACGAGGCTAACTATCTGACGCATGATTTAGAGCTGGGGGCAATGGTGTTCGTCCTCAAGATTTGGCAGCATTACCTCTACGGGGTCCGTTGTACCATTTACACGGACCACAAGAATCTGAGGTACCTCATGGATTAGCCGAATCTGAAGATGAGGCAGCGTCGGTGGTTAGATGTGGTGAAGGACTACGATTATGAGATCCTTTACAACCAGTGCAAGGCCAATGTAGTGGCCGATGCCCTGAGCCGCAAGGCGGTAGCGGCCCCGATTCGAGACATATGTCTGAGGATGAAAGTGATTACTCCATTGCTGGAGCAGATCCGAGAGGCGCATGTTGAGGGCCTGAAGGAGGAGCGCCGGAAGTGCGAGCGGATCATAGGCCAGGTGACTTCCTTTGATTACGGCAGCAGTGGGCTGTTGACCCTGCATGGGAGGGTCTGGGTACCGTACTGAGGAAGATGTATAGAGATCTTCGTCCTCACTACTGGTGTCCATGCATAAAGCGGGATGTAGCTTGGTACATGGAGAGATGCTTGACCTGCAGGAAGGTCAAGGCAGAGCACCAGAGGCCCCACAGCAAGATGCAACCATTAGACATTCCCATGTGGAAATGAGAAGATATCACTATGGATTTCATCACTAAGCTTCCCAGGACCACACGTGGGGTTGATTCGATATGGGTCATAGTGGATCGGTTGACCAAGAGTGCTCATTTTATCCCGATCCAGGAGAGCATATCTGCCAAGAAGTTGGCTGAGATTTATGTGCGAGAGGTAGTGGCACGTCATGGAGTGTCTGTCTCGGTGGTATCAGACCAAGATGTCCGTTTCACTTCCCGATTTTGGAAGCGGTTCCACGACGAGATGGGTACTCGTCTCCACTTTTGCACCGCTTTCCACCCCCAGACAGATGGACGGAGCAAGAGGACGATTCAGACTATCGAGGACATGCTTCGTGCATGTGTTTTGGATTTCGGTGGCAGTTGGGATACGTATCTTCCGTTAGCGTAATTTTTGTATAACAGCTACCACGGAAGCATAGATCGACCTCCCTTTGAGATGCTCTATGGGAGGAAGTGTAGGACCCTAATCTGTTGGGGCGAGGTTGGTCAGAGAGTCATGGGGAGTACTGATATAGTACTCAAGACTACAGAGCGGATCCAACAGGTCTGGAGCAGGCTTCATACTGCTCATAGTCGACAGAAGAGCTTCACCAACAAGCGGTGTTCAGACTTGGAGTTTTAGGTGGACGATATGGTCCTCCTGGAGGTGTCACCTTGGAAAGGTGTCATCCGGTTCTGGAAGCGGGCCAAGCTGGGGCCCAGGTACATTGGTCCTTTCAGGTTTATAGCTTGGGTGGGCAAGGTGGCATATCGGTTGGACCTTCCAGTAGAGCTCAGTTAGATCCACAACACTTTCCATGTTTCCCAGTTGCAGAAGTGCTTAGTGGATGATTCAGCGATTGTGCCCTTGAAGGATATTTAGGTTGACGACAGCCTAAACTACATTGAGAGACCGGTGGCGATTCTGGATCGCAAGAGGAAAACCTTAAGGAACAAGGTTGTTCTGTTAGTTAAAGTGCAGTGACAGCACCGCAAGGGTTCTGAGTGGACTTGGGAGCCCGAGGAGGAGATGAGGGAGCACTACCCGGAGTTGTTTTCAGACGCATCAGACTTCGAGGACGAAGTCTAAGACAAGTGGGGGAGCATTGTAACTCTTGGTTCCTGGTATGCATTTAACTCAGTAATTTATTTATTTTGAAAGGGTAACTCAACGAATTGGTGGCCCTAACTCATTGAGTAGAGGGCAGATTATACTCGGGTTTTAAGCTACCTACTCGGCGAGTCAAGAGCCCTCGATTCGGCGAGTAGATCGTCTAGAGTGAAACCCTAATTTCGGGGTTTTGCACCCAATTTAAGTTCCTTAACCCCCACCCCTTGGCCTCATTTCCAGCCTCCCTGTCCCAAACCCTAATCCACGAAACCCTTGAGTGTTATTTAAGAGTGTGAGCCATTTTTTTAGTGATCTTTGTGTACTTTTGAAGCTTGTGGAAGAAGAAGAAGATAGAGGGCTCAAGAAGGGAAGAGTAGATCCAGAAACTACACGCCATTTGCTACATTTCCTGGTAATCAAGTTTCTATCTTGGCTATTAGTTCATTAGATCTCTTTATGTCCATCTTTATGAGGGTTTTTGGTCCAAGAATGATTGCTTTCGGAGAATGATCGGCCCAAGTGGGTATTCTTCCTGATCTAGGACCTAGAGGGGCTGATATGACATAAAGGTGCAAACTTTATGCCATTGGAGCCCCCATGCAAGCCTTAGAGTGTCATATTGGCCTTTTTAGCCCCAAAAGGCCATGCATGTGGAAAAGGTGGGAACTTTACGTGTCCATTTAGTGTTAGGGGTGTAGATCTGAGTTTGTAAGCTTTATTTGGGTGTAAGGATGGCATAAGGACCAAGTTCTAGGTCCCAAGGAATTAGGGTTTGAGCTAAACCCTTTAAGAATAGGTACTAATGGGTAAAGTTAGAAACTTTACCCTTAAAAGGGCATTGTAAGGGTTTTTCTGAAGTGTGAAGCTTGGTTCTGAAGTGTAGGATTTTAATCCACTAAGATAGCCCAAACAGACAGGGGAAGTCGGCGAGTCCAGAAAGGGACTCGACAAGTTGAGTCGGGTTGTCCCGATTCTATGCCATGTAGAACTCGGCGAGTCTATGAAGGGACTCGACGAGTTGAATCGGTTGATCATGAGTCTGAGTAGTATAGGGACTCGTCGAGTTAGGAGGTAACTCGACGAGTTGAGTCTACTGGGAGTTGACCTTGACTTTGACTTTGACCAGGACGTTGACGTTCACCAGGGGTAAAATGGTCATTTTACCCTAACAAGGATTATCAGATTTTGATTAAGTGTTATTGTGAAGTTGATAGTCAGGGAGTCATTGGAGCAGCCGTTGGAGATTCCTCACACGAGATTTCACAGCTAGCATACGAGGTGAGTTTCCTCCAGTAGGAACGAGTCTAAAGCACCAAGGCTGGCCCGTTTAGCTAGTTGTAGTTTCGGACTACGGTCCAATGCCGGGCAGGGCCCGATGTAGGTCTATATGCTTTTCTGGATTTCGATCCGTCGCTGGGGCAGTCCCGAGGAATGCTTGTATGCTTGAAGTCTTTGTGATTCTTGCATGCGTTTGTACTTGTATGTTTCCGGACTTCGGTCCGATGTCGGGGCGGTCCTGAGGAATGTTAGTATGTTTCTGGACTACAGTACGATGTCGGGCGGGGCCCGAGGAATGTTTCAATGTTAATGATATATGCTTATGTTTATGTGTATTATTTGACTATGTTTTTGGTCTACGGTACGATGTCGGTCGAGGCTCGATGTCGGGCGGGGCCCGATGCCGAATAGCGTCTGATGCCGGGGGGGGGGGGGGGGGGGGGCTCGATGCCGGGAAAGCCGATGCCGAGCCTGACTCGATGTAGCAGGGGCGGAGCCCAAGATATGTTTATGTGATATGAGTATGGTATGCAATAGTTGGGGAGACCCACTAAGCTTCGTGCTTACAGTTATCAGTTTTGGTTTCAAGTACTTACACTAGCAAGGGGAAGATCTCGGGATGAATGCATGACACGCACCATAGTTTTTAGCCTGGGAGGATTCACTCTGACATTTGACATATGATTTTGATATAATGATAGATGTTATGAGATTTTTGAGATACATGATTTATGACATATTGATACTTGTGGTTTTATTATTATGACGTTTGACAAAATATGGTTTTTCATAAATGATTTAAAACAAAATTTTTGGACCGTATTTTGGGGATGTTTCAATTGACATGTGGACACTAGTAACGAATATCCCATTAAAACCCATGAAATTGGACTTCAAAGATTCATGAAGTGGAGAGATGGTTTGATTCAAAAGCATCCCTTTTGTCTTTTCACTCTTTGCATCCAACCATACATGTAAATTTGCATCAATTAACCAAACTTTTTAACCATTTGTAACACTGAATGCAAAATCATGGAGTTTTCCATTTAAAAGTGATCCAAGAAACGGAGTGATTTCAATATCATATGAAGGGAGATCAAATGATCCAATCGCACTAATTTGTCCCATAAGTACGGATTAATAGCTTTTGTGAAAACTACAGTAAAAGGCCAAACTGCACCAACTATATTTCCATCTAAGCTTACAACAACCTCTCTAAAAGGTCCATTACCAGGTTGCCCAGTTATATTATTAGAAGAAATATAGTCATTAGGGAGATTTTTAGGCCACAACTCATCGGCTTCATCAACTGAAACATACACTTCAAGAACAGCCCTATATGCATTTGGGGGAATCGCAAACTGTTTTGTCTTTACGTCATTTGAATTATAGATTTTGAACCATAATGCATCGTCCAATGGTATGTTTTGTGAAATGGGTATAATCAAATCAGCCCATTCCTTATACCCATGATCTTGATCTGAATTAACATGTAGAGTTGTCGTTTCTGTGTTGGTTTTGGTTTTCTTCTCAGGGGGATAATAATGAATACTGATATTCACATGGTATACACCATTTTGATCACTATCATGCTTATTTCCCAAATAAACAGCAAGGATTTGTGTTTGATTGGACATAACCAATGAATAATACCTAGTAATGTCCTTCTTCACAGTCCAAACAATCCCTCTGGCTCTAGGTTGAGTTGTGCAGCATCTGAACAGTTCAACACCGCTGAGCCAAATCCCAATAATCCTATCGATCTGACGACCTTTAGTTGTAGCATAGCATACCATTCGAGAACAATTTTAGCAAAATTGGTTGATGGGCAATTTGAGGGTCGGGTATATTGGGTGGAAGCCAGTGGGTTGCCATAACTGTTTCCGAAATCATGTTGTAGAAGACGGGTTGAGCAAGGTTTTGTGTTAGGGAATTGGATTGGAAATGTTATCGCTCTATCGCTTTTTAGGAATATTGACGTTTAGTCCAACACCTTAACTCCAGCCCTAGATGGCACTGATGTTGTTTCGGTCATCTCGATCGTTTTCTATGATGATTGAAGGTCCCTGTGTTCACCCAATTTCTTCACTTCTAACATATTCTCTCAGACATCCTTCAAACCGTTTGAATTTAGTGTAAGTTATGGCTTCTTACCTACATAACTTCAAATTAATCGTTTCTTTTATTTGTTTCATTAGGTCTAAACATCATCTAATCGTGGGTTTGCAAGGTCGTGTATTATTTAAGTTAGTGAATAGTTTTATTGACCTTGTCGAGCTAAATTTGAAGTTACTTTTGATGAGTGCAGCTCTCAATTAATTTCGTCTAAAGGAAGATTATGAAAGCTGGCACTTATAGAGCTCCGGAGACAGTTGTTTGGTGATGGAGATAGTTTACTTTGGTGGATTCTGTGAAGGTATGAATACTCTTTAAACTTTTATCTTTTAATTTTAGTCATTTTAGAACTTATTATCATTTGTTTTTGCAAATTGTTTGTCTTCAAACTCTATCGATTGATGATAAGCTAAGGAAAAGTTTGGGGTTTTTTCAAACTCTCTCTTTTTATAAAGCAATTGATGAAAAAAAATGGGGGTAAAAGCTTACCATGTGAAAACCCCAGAACATGGGACCGTCTTCATCTTTTTCGCCTTCTCTATTTTCAGTTACATGTAACATACGACCACATTTTGTAAAAAACAAAATCAGTCACACACACATATATAGGTTTTTATTTAACTGTTTTTAATAGGTTTCTTTTTTCTTGAAGTAAATGATGAACTTTGAAGAACATATGAGGTGCATATAAAAGAGATGATATTTATGTCTTTACTTATCAAATTCTTTTTTTGTTTCTACTGTCCATCAAAAGGAAAGAAATTACATCCCTTTTCATTCTATATTTATTTATTGTTTCCTTTTTCTTTGCTTCCCGGAAAAATAATAAATGGTAGCTACTTTATGTGGTTGTCGCTAAAGAAAATATACATTCTTATTATGAGATTGCTTGATATCATATTAGCTTTAATTTTTTGGATTGCTTAGTCAGAACCATCATGATCACAATGCTTGATAAGATCATATTTTTTTGGTTTATTCAAGAAATTAGTGCTAAATTGGCTTTCAAAATAGTGTTTCTTTGATAAGATCGTGTTTTTTTGGTTTATTGAAGCAATTACTGCTAACTAGGATTTCAAAATAGCGTTTTTCTTTTTGTTTTCTCCTATATTTTTCATTATTTTCTCAATTTTTTTGTTTAAGATTGAGTTATAAATCTGTAGGACCTAGCGATGATATGCTCAATGATTTTAGTTTTACGGATTTATGACATAAATGTAATTACAGAACACAAAACTTATGTTTATGAAAATGGTGAATGAAATTTGTTGATATCATCAATGAAGTTTCATAAAACTGTTAAAGAAAAAATAACATTAAATTCTTAAAATTCACATAATAAAAAAAATGGATATCTGCCACATGTAAGCCTCACTACCAAGGTGCATTATAATTTTATATGATCTATTACATGAAAACAAATGCTTTTAGTTTCTTAGATGGATGTTGATTACTTTGTAAAAATGTTTGGACTTTATGGAAAGCTTGACTTTGCTATATAAGTTGGTGCAAGTATTGAACAAATGATTATCAGAATCTGATATGGCATTGGGTTTGGTATTCATGACAAAAGATCACACCTATGAAGGCATAACCATAGTTTCTCAACGACTAGAATCCTAAGCTTTGGGTTCTATTCTTCTGCTTATCGGTATTCTCTCTTCTTTACTTCATATTTATCTCTCCACTTCATGATAGAATCGAAAGTGGAGGACCATGTCACTTTATAGGCGTCATGTCTCTCTTTGAGCTAATAAGACATGACAGATATAACGTCATTATACAATACGAAGGGACAAGAAAACTTAAGGTATGTATATTTTAAATGTGTGTTGTGTGTGTATTGTAATCTTAAAATTGTCTGATCATTTCTTTCTATCTTATGGTCAATGTATGGCTAAAGTTTTTGCAAGTCCATTGCCATATTTTGGTGGAGACTACTTGCTTGGTGCGGTTGGGGATATAATTTATAATTGGGAATGCATGTAAACATCACCTTATTACAAATGGTTCCCCTTCAATATGGTTATATTATCTTATATTTGTTCATAATAGTTCTATATGGAATCAATTTTAGGCTTTTTGACCTTTTATTCGTCTTGAATATATCAAACATCTAATGATTAAAAATCAGATAGGTGGTTTTATGGAGTTCTCCCAGGTTTTGATGTTGATTTGTTATTTGGCTTATCCTTCTCAAATAGACTCTGATGAATATGAATTGTGTTCATTGCATTCTGTGTATTTAATTTTACTTTTTTGTTTATAATTACTCCGTATTTCCGTTATGAAAACCTGATTTGTTTAATTAGTTTACGTTTTATCAATTTATTCAGTTTTATTAATTTTAGCAGCATACATTTGTGATTAAATGTCATGTGTTTTGTTTGGAACTCAACCCTAAAAGTAAAGGGCAAACAACGTTTTCTATCTATAACGATGTTACAAATGGTGTGATACAGGACTAATATATTAGGTTTTCTTCGACAGACCTTTATCGGAATGGTGGTTTCTATTTTGTTGCTTTTTTTTTTTGTCTTTGTAAGCTTTCCTAAGAGGTAACCATTTGCTAATGTTGTACTCACTGTATACTTTTCAAGTTTACATCCCTTTTGGGTGTGTTTAGGTTGTGGTTTTAAATCAAACTATGTTAATGAGCATCTTTTGATATATGTCTTCATTTTCTTGCTATTGAAATTGGGGGATTTGTTGTTATTGAAATTAGGGGATATTGGCTTATTGAACTCATTGATGGCGAAGTATGATTTACTGGATAAGATTTTTTAACTATTTTTATTGATTTGACAACCAAAAATTTTCTAACCCCCGCAAAGCGGGATCCTTCCCTAGTCATCTTCTAATCACAACACTAGTAATTATATTTGGTATTACGAGCTAAGTAGAAACGTACGTTGTGATCGTGGACTAAATATGAAGACTAAGAAATTGTAGACCGATGTAAACTTTTGCAAAAGGCTTATGACTTCTCATAACTCCATGGTAATAATGTTTGTCTTTTGTGCTATTTTATTGTTAAGTGTTTTATGTTATTTAGTTGTATTTGTTGATTATTGTTATTATTTTGATTGTGTGGACCTTGAATTACCATGTAAGTGGTATAAAATTCATATGATCAAAATCCATAAGAAATTAGAGGACCGTAAATGATCAGATTTTAATAAGATACATTTGAAAGTTTATTTTCAGAAGATGCTATCCATTATTGATGAAAAGCTTGAAGCTTTAAAACTTAAATGAAAATGGATGAAGCCAAAGAAAATTGTATTAGTGGAAGATCTTCAATTAATTCTCCCATTGGTCATAGAAATAATAAGTTCTCTTTTGGTGTTTGGAAATGCTTGATGTTATAATGTATTTTGTAATCCATAATATGTTGATTAGGTTTGGTATTGTAATAAGTTCTTATAGTTTGGTGTCGTTTTAAATTCTAGATGACTAAAATTAATTAATATATTATTCTAGGGGTGTAATTGAGCCAAGTCGAGTTGAACACTGCCAAGCTCGAAACTCAACTCGACTAATAAACTCGAGCTCGAACCTCGGTTCGAACTTGACTCGAGCCTTAATATCAAGCTTCAGCTCAAGCTCGAGCTCGGTTCAACCCCGTTAGCTCTGATAAAACATCAAATTACAATATTAATACAGTGAAGCTCGTGAGCTCGACTCGGCTCGACTCTATAATATGTAAATATGAAGAAAAGAAAGGATAAAACTATAAATATAACAATATTTGAATAAGCTCGAGAGTTTCGTGAGCGGAGTATTTCTATACTCGAGCTCAACTCGATAATCTACTCGAGTAACTCGAGCTCGACTCGATTTAAACCAGGTCGATTTTGAGTATTTTTCGAACCGGTCTTGAGTATCTCACGAGTTGGTTTGCCTCCTTTATACCTTAACTTTTAAATGATATTTGAATCATTGATCTTTCTGTTGGGTGACAACAAAACAAGTTAAGCACTTCAGACAAATATCAAAACAAACTTCGGTGAACTTGCGCAAATAAACCTTATGAAAATGTAAATCAAGTGAACACAATATGTAACGTGGTTTGGTCATGGTGACCTACATCCATTAGCAAACGAGAGAGAAAGAGAGAGAGAGAGAGAGAGAGAGAGAGAGAGAGAGAAATAGGATTTTATTAACTTCCAAGAAAAATTACAATCACACACAAAGTCTACACCTCACTTGAGCTCTCAAAACAAAAGAATCTATTTTGCTTACTAAATGCTCCAATGGAGTGCTCTCAATCTCACAGTGATTACTCTCTTGAAATTTCTGCACATTCGTAACGATGGAGATACAGGGGTATTTATACTTGCGGAATCATACCTAACTAAAACCCTAATGAGCCAAGCCCATTGGCCCATAGGCCCATGAAATGTGACAACCAATCATATCCCACCATGCAGCATCTTCTGGAACATTCTTCCATGTCATACAACTCATGAGCATCAGCAACACACTTGATGGACCACCTTGACCATAGTGGAGCATAATGACCAGTAATGGTCCAACATCCATCATAGTGGCACAACTGGTTGATTAGGTGTCTAAGCCCATAACTATAATTGGTATGTACTTGACTCGAGAGTAGCATGGTCCATTTGGGTTTCCTTCACCAGAACAATCTGACATGACGGATATTCGAGAAAGAGGC